ATGGGGGATAATGAAGAATATGTGAAGACTAAAAGATAGCTCAAGGATAAAGAGGAATCCCAGTACTTACTTACAAGAGGAGGAGGGGGGATAATGAAGAATATGTGAAGATAGCTCAAGGATGAGGAGAGTAAGTACTATGATTCTTAAAAATAAAAAGTGATGCTAATTGGTTGGGTTAACCACATACTGGCTACACTAGACGGGGAGGTACAGTAGACTAGACCGGCATCCTTCTACTAGTTCGGATCATACAACTTATAAACTAATATGAATGGATTACACAACAGGACTGTTTCACCGTTGTCACAAGTTTGAAATTCGAACGAAGTCGTGAGAAATGTGACGTACATGCCTAAACATGTTTTCAAGAATTGGATAAAAACACGGCATGGGACGTAGCTTTGCGCAGGGGGGATATATAAAACTCCTAAATTGATTATGTTATGTCCGCAAAGCTACGTCCCATGCCTAAAAAACAGATAGGTTTGTATTCAGTTTGCTGACAGGGTTGCCCAATGCCCATATGGGATGAGGCTTTAAATGGCCTGAAGCAGAATTTAAAGAATTTAAACCGTGTCGCTGAAACGCCAAAAACCGGTTCTAATTGAGCAACGGCTCAAATCTTGAAAAACTGAATTTACAATTTCAATTGAAACCAACCATGTTTGAGCTGCTTCTGAAATTTGAGACGTGACTCAAATTCTCTAAATTCGGCCTCTTGAGACGTAATTGAACGTTCCTCTCTATTTGTAGAGCTAATGGCATATCGAAGATTCTGAAGTATTCTCTTTAAACCTTTGTCTGATCAAGGATCAATGAGATATCTTTTTTATACTTCAGAAGTATTTTCTGCAGTCTTTGATAATTTAAAAAGGTTCAGTAGTTTGTCATTTTTTTGTGTGTTTTTTTAGGCCAAGCTTGAGGGTATTTTCCCCGGTATAAAGATGACAGTTGCTAAGAAAGCTGATTCTCTTTATCCTTGTGTTTCAGCTGCCAGTATATGTGCCAAGGTAGGAATGAAGTTCTCTACTAATTTTAAAACCTTTCACTTTTTACGCGGCATTTTTTTACCAAGCAAATCATGCTTCGTTAATCGAAGAAATCATTAAATTAAACAAGTATCATTTAGAAATAAGCATCAGATACATTTATTTATGAGGTTTTCTAACTGTGCTTAGTTTTTGTTCAGTTATAATTGTTGTAAGAAACTATTACCTTTTTAATAAGCAAGATATCGAATTGATTTCATATTGATTGGAGACACCTAGTGATTTAGTTTTGAACTTTAGGTTGCTCGTGATCGTGCTCTTTCCGAGTGGAAATTCACTGAAGGGTCTGACTTGAAAGGACCTTGGGGATCAGGTACATGGGAAATAAGGCCGGAATGATAAATGGAAGAAAGAGAAAACTGAATTAGTTTGGCCTTTACATTTACATTCTATTTAAAGAAGGACATGCCCAGGATCGTTGAAATCTTTGTCAAATCAAATATTTCCAGTCTAATTATGGTTTCTTTATTAAAGTGACTTGAAAATTTTATTTGACAGAGACACGTAACGTTATTCTACACTTCTTAATATGGAGAAGTTACGACAAAGATTTACAGGGTGCTGTTGTGAACTCTTGTGGTGATCTAAAATAACGTTATTTCTTTTAAGTAAACAGAGGGTAGAGGTGAGAAGACGGAAGAAGAAGGAGAAATATAATGACATGAAAAATACTTGTTTTATGTTTTTAGGTTATCCTGGAGACCCAGTTACAAAAAAGTTTCTTCAAGAGAGCTTTCATCCGGTCTTTGGGTTCCCTGGTTTAGTTAGGTAGGTTTATATCCGGTCTTTGGGTTCCCTGGTTTTGTCAGGTAGGTTTATATCCAGTCTTTGGGTTCCCTGGTTTAGTTAGGTAGGTTATATCCGGTCTTTTGGTTCCCTGGTTTAGTTAGGTAGGTTATATCCGGTCTTTGGGTTCCCTGGTTTAGTAAGGTAGGTTATATCCGGTCTTTTGGTTCCCTGGTTTAGTTAGGTAGGTTCATATCCGGTCTTTAGGTTCCCTGGTTTAGTTAGGTAGGTTCATATCCGGTCTTTGGGTTCACTGGTTAAGTTAGGTAGGTTATATCCGGTCTTTTGGTTCCCTGGTTTAATTAGGTATGTTATATCCGGTCTTTTGGTTCTTGGTTAAGTTAGGTAAGTTATATTCGGTCTTTTGGTTCCCTGGTTTAGTAAGGTAGTTATATACCCGGTATTTGGGTTCCCTGGTTTAGTTAGGTAGGTTCATATCCGGTCTGTTCCCTGGTTTAGTTTGGTAGGTTTATATCCAGTTTTTGAGTTCCAATGTTTTAGAATTCCTGTAGTGTAAATTGTGAATTGATTTTATAATTGTACAATGTGCAGGTTTAGTTAGGTAGGTTTATATCCAGTTTTTGAGTTCCAATGTTTTATAATTCCTGTAGTGTAAATTGTGAATTGATTTTATAATTGTACAATGTGCAGGTTTAGTTGGAAAACTGCGGAGAAGATAATTGATGAGAAGGGTGTAAAGGTAGTTCCTGTTTAATCTGAAAATTTTCTGAAACAATTTATTCGAAGATTATTTAAAGATTTGATGTTTTATTGTGCTTTTATCAATTGATATTCCAACGATATGTATTCTTTACTCTGCAGAGCTGACGTAACTAATTACATGCATTTAAAAAACATGTTTTTAAATAAATTAAGCCATGTCAGTCGTATGATTTCAAAATGTACAGAAAGGCAACTGTACAAATATTGAGTTATAGTTACATAAGAGTGAAAAAAAGTTTTAAAAGCTACATTTCTATACGAAATTCAGGAATCATTTATTTAAGAGAAATATGGTTAAATTATCAATTAAGTATATTCTCCGTTTAAGAGAAATATGGTTAAATTATCAATGAAGTATATTCTCCGTTTAAGATTATCAATGATGTATATTCTCCATTTAAGAGAAATATGGTTAAATTATCAATGAAGTATATTCTCCGTTTAAGAGAAATATGGTTAAATTATCAATGAAGTATATTCTCCGTTTAAGAGAAATATGGTTAAATTATCAATGAAGTATATTCTCCGTTTAAGAGAAATATGGTTAAACTATCAATGATGTAAATTCTCCGTTTAAGAGAAATATGGTTAAATTATCAATGAAGTATATTCTCCGTTTAAGAGAAATATGGTTAAATTATCAATGAAGTATATTCTCCGTTTAAGAGAAATTATCAATGAAGTATATTCTCCGTTTAAGAGAAATATGGTTAAATTATCAATGAAGTTTATTCTCCGTTTAAGAGAAATATGGTTAAATTATCAATGAAGTATATTGTCCGTTTAAGAGAAATATGGTTAAATTATCAATGAAGTATATTCTTCACGAGATAACCATAAACCTCGTTATAAAAACAAGAGCAGCAAAATTCTTTTTATATTATTATATATTTTCTTGAAAAATCATTGACGCTCCCAGCTCGTTTAGGAAAAGAAGTGATTTTATGGGAAATTAATTTATGTTGGAAAGTAAGTATTAAAAAAGGGGGGGGTCTTTATCAGTTATGACCCTCTAATTTTTTTCAAATCTTCAAAATTATTTATCTAATTGTCTGCATTTGCTTCTTTTTTAAACCTGTGTATTAGATTTGTAATTACAATTGAAGAAAGTTGCCTTGGTTTTTGTCATTAAAAAGTCTTTTTTCCTCCTTTATTTATCTTTATTTATCTATACTCTATATAAATGCGACAATACTAAAGATATTTTCTCAGATCCTACACTCTATTCTACTTTGTTTGGCATACTTTACTTGACATATCAAAACTGAAAATGATTTTATGTATTCAAGCTGCTGTACTTGTAGCATTCAGTACTGGAAGTAATTTTCCTGATATATATTGTATGTACACTGTACAGCGTACAATCTTGCCAAGGGTTTCCCACAAAGATGATACTGTAAAGATGACTTTAAACTCTTCAAATATGACGATCACAATTTTAATTAAGTCTTTTGCCTTAAATTTTGTCTTAATATGGCTTTTTTAAGGATTTGGCTAAGAAAGGAAGAAGTTATAGTTGCAGGGAATCATGAATAAATTAAAACAGACGGTAGAAATTCTCATTAGTGACCTAGTCTTCTCTAAAGTTTCATTCTTTGCGGGTAATCCTGTACCCTGCGATACCTTGATATATTATCCTGTTGTGCCTTAACCTATGTACCCATGATAATGTACCCTGTACTATATCCTTGTACACTGCTTTGCTGTTCCAATGTACCGTTTTGTACTTTACTTCTACTATGCATTACAATGTACAATGTACAATGTACATTGTAATTGTACATATTATTATGTTACCTGTTGTACTGTACCTAAATGTATAATACCGCATGTACACCGTTTACTGTTAAATGTGCAGGTTGAATGGGAAGAGGTAGAACCCGAGGAAGACGACGCTACCTTGAGGAACCCCAGCGTATCCCAGTACTTTGTTAAAGTAGGGAAACCTACCAAGGGGAAACCTTCAAGGATTCATCCTTATTTCAAGGAGAGATGTCTAGCACCTTTAACCACCCTGTAAAGAGGGCTTACTATTAATTAGCTTTGCCCCCCCCGTAATCTTCCTTGCATTGCCCCCCTTCAAAGGCCATCATCAAGATATTTTGAGAATTTATCCCATAAGTCAAGTACCTGAAAACATACGCTTTGCCCTAAAATAAATAATTTTTATTGTGTAAACTGTGATCGATTTATTTTTATCTGAATTAAAGACAATTTCAATGAAACATGGATGATTTTCAATTATAGTAAGAAATAAATCTCTCTAATTATGTGTACTAAGTTAAAATGAGAAAACATCCAAATATTCTCTTAAGAATGGCTCGTGTATTTTATTCATTCAATCATGTTTATGGAAAATCTTTATCATTTTCAGTTTTTCGTAAAGAAAGTAAGAAAATGATAAAAAATAGAAAATTCATTAATTATGTTGAAAAATCAGTGAATTGTTCCTCGAGTATTTCTGCAAATCTTTATCTGATGATGACGTATGGCAGGGCTCTTAAACTAGTTGAACAAGCATCAAATATTTTTAATAAGATAATATCTATAAATGCACAATGAAGCACTATCTAACTAATAAAAAAAGATGATGCATTAGAACAAGAAGATTCATTTTAAACGTTATGAAACATAATTTTCAAAACCACACTGCACGGGGGTGAAAACCAGTTTTTTCCCAAATGTAAGGTTTTTTAACAACTTTTTATCCGAAAATTCATATCTTTTCCGCTTAACATCATTTTGGATGGAATTAAGCCCCTTCCCCCTCTAAAAGGTCAGCTTTAATAACGCCTAGTTCTTGTCTGCTTCATTAAATTGTCTAACTGGATTTAAAGATTAAATCTTACCACTGAAAACTGGAAACTGAGCTTCAGAATCTAATTAAATTGATATCTCTGGCTACTATACAGGTTAACCTTCTATTTTTCGGGAACTTTGACGAAAAGACAGGCAACCACATGTATAATGGGGAGGAGGGGTGTTCCTTGAAAAATTGAAACTTTCACTTTAAAGTTGTTTTTTTCTTTACCCTTTATATCTGATTCCTATTATGAAAGACTTTTGTTACCCCCCCCCACACTCCTCTCTTTGAAGGAAGACTAAATAAAAACAACCAAAACTATTTTTTGAAAGAGGTTTTCAATTTTGTAACGTTTTCAAGTCATGAAATTCATATAAAAATCCAAATCTTAGTCAAGATGTCGAACAAATTACCAATTATACTATCTTTGTTAAACTAGTGGTAAAGATTTAATTGGCTAAGAAAGCTGGATGATCAACTTTCTTGCGAAAAATTTCGTTTTCATTTTTATTCAATTTAGGTCGATATTTTTCACTACTAAGAGATACTTGTGTGGTCAAATTCAAAAGTTTATTCCAACAAAAATTGGTCCGACTAGTTCATGTTTTACATACGAAAATCATTATTTTAAACACCTCTCTCATTTTGTTCCTAAATTCTGCTTCGACACAATCTTATAGTGCATTTTTGTAATTTAAATTGTCTTGGCTTGTAGTTTGCGGCACTACATGAAAGGATTACGCACTGCCCGGGCGCTTGTGTAAGCTGAATGTTCAAAATATTATGTTGTTGCTGTGCAGTGAGCAGACCTATGGTGTGATGTTCATTAACAATTTATAATATATGATTCACCATGCAACAAATGGTTCTAAATGAAATTGAGCACTATGCCTCAAACTCTACTGATAATTTAAACTTCTGGTAAAAACTTGCCTATTAAAGAGAGCAGAGCATGGTTACGATTTCAGGTTGCACGGATCTTTAGATAATTTCAGGGGTGATTTTTTAAAATTATTTTGGGGTAAAAACTTGCCTATTAAAGAGAGCAGAGCATGGTTACGATTTCAGGTTGCAAGGATCTTTAGATAATTTCAGGGGTGATTTTTAAAATTATTTTGGGGTAAAAACTTGCCTATTAAAGAGAGCAGAGCATGGTTACGATTTCAGGTTGCACGGATCTTTAGATAATTTCAGGGGTGATTTTTTAAAACTATTTTGGGGTAAAAAGTATCATAAAATGTTCGGCCTCATTATTGTTAAAAATAAGTATTCAGTCCCTTTCAATTTTTAAAACAATCCATTTTTTAGTATATTTTTAGTTTAGCTAATTTAGGTATATAAAACATTCTTTTTTAATGTTTTATTGATTAAATCTTAACAACCCTCTTACAATAAAAATACAAAGGTATGTCGTTGCAAGATTTTAATCTACATCATTCATCTGGCTTCTGAGTTAAAAAACCAACCTTTTTCCCATGATTTGTGTAGAACATTAATCTTCCAATCTGAAGTGCATATCTGGACAAAATAGATTTAAGCATCTGAAGAAAACTTGTTGAACCAGTAAACCAGAGTTACCTTCAAGAGATCAGACGTTGGAATGAATTCCGAAAATGTTTAAGATTTGGTAAACTTTGAAGTGTTGCAACGAATTAGCCTTTTTTTAACAAACCTTTTAGTAGCCTTACTTGCACACTTTAGAACCAGAAGAAATATTTATTACTATTCCTCAGTTTTCCATATAAAAAATCATTTTGTAAAAGTTTAAAAAAGAAATAACTGTTATTTTCCAAAAAAAAATTATTTTAATGAATATATTTTTGGGTTAAATAAAACAGTATGCGCGTAATTTCAAGTAACCCATCATGCTAACATGGTAATTTCTGAATCACAACGGTACCCTTGAAATCTTTATCTGATCCATATGTCGTCTTTCTAGGGTTAACAGTTTTTAATTCTGATCATTCCTTTATTTTCTACAGCAGACATGCTTCAGTTACTTGAAAAAATCAATTTTTAAAACATTGATATATAATTCATACTTGATCAGAAAAAGGTTTCAAGGCTACCGTTTGGAATCGAGCATTGCCATCTTTCCATGGAGGATAACTTTAAATTACGCTTACAGTCCCTCAAGAATTAGATACTCACAAAACTAAGTGTTCAGCGAACCATGGATGACTTAGTTAAGATTGATAAAAAATATGCGTATTGAATTCTGTTACGTATCGTAGAACTGGGTTACACGCTATACTGATGGATTGACCGTGGTTCTCCAGATACTTCAAAAGACAGGCCTTGCCGGTCTAAATTCTTGAAATATTATTTGCAAAACGTTTTGGAGCATTCCACTAAAAACAGGTTTCATGAATAAAAATAAGCTCATGATTTATTGATAATAAAGTTTTTTCTTCTTTGAAGGTTCTATTTTACAACCTTAGCACCTTGGTTGCTTCATGCACCAGTTTTTATATTTTTTTGCATAAATTTAGCTCTTAAAGGGACTGTTCGCGTAAATTAATGTGACATTCCATTTAAAGAGGGGAATCCCTGATTCACAAGCGCTTTTAACCGTTTAATGATCAAGGATGACGGACTTTTCCTTGTTTATCTATACCCTTGTTTTTTTAAAAAAATTTATTTTTTATTCTTAACAATATTCTTTAAGTAGCTATATGATAGCAGATGCAAATATTTTGACATTTCTATATTTCTTGTTCTTCATTTTCTTCTTGTTTGTACAACTTTCATATCATATTTCGGCTAATTTTGAAAACAAAAATTTTGGACATCCTATTTAACTTTATTGATATAAATTTTCAAGGAATTGGTAAAGCTATTTTCTTCAAAACAACATTGTTGCCGAGATGCTAACTTTAGACTAGGTTGAGTTGCCTAATTTCCTATTTTTCTCCACTCCTTTTTGTTTACACATGGTAGATAAGCCAGCAACTACATTTGAACTAAGTCAGCATTCAAACACATATTCCTGGTGTATTATCGATTCAGGGTAAAGGGGTGGGGGGGGAAGTCTTCCAGTCCCATATTTTTTAATAATTGAAAAGGGGTTTCTCCAATTGTGTCTCCATTTGCTAACAGGTAAAGGCTGATAGTGTGAAGCTTATCATTGGAGAGTTCCCTTCCATTTTTCCTGTTCAGTTTTCTTTTTTCTTCTTGTTTCTTGTTTCTACCTTTTGAGGCCTCTCCAAGTAGTTATTGTGACATTAAATTGTGGAACAGGTAGGAAAGATATAAGGAAGTTTGGAGGGGGAAAGGTTTGAGAGATTTCAGTAGAAGATCCCTGCTTTCCTTTGTTAGGTTTTCCAACTTAAGCAGACATAAGGAAACCCTTAACTGCACTGCTTATGCCAAATGGGGAGTTGAAAGCCTTAAAGCCCCATCAGGTTGAATTTCCCACAGCAGTCCAGTTTGCAAGATGTTTTATATTTAAGAAATATACAAATTCAAATAAAATTTTTTGAATATGTGTCAGTCACGTTGAGTTACAGTATCGTGTACAATGTACACTCAGGGAATAGGAATAAAGGGAAAGGAAATGACGCTGGTCTGGCATGAGAAAGCCAGTCGCATTGCTTTGCAGACAAGTTTGGTAAACCTTACACACACACTTTTGGCACAGACACACAACATGATTACAGTCAAGGAAATTGCAGAACAATGTCGTCAATTATAATTAAGTCTGAATAACGACTATTTTATTGTAAACTTTAATCAAATTATATTCTTTGCATGAAAATTTGGCTTTATAGTGTTGACTTAAATATGTAAATAATATATTACATGTATATTAACAATTAGCAATAAGCAGATGTGCTCTCCTAGACTGTACAAATACCGAGATTCGTCTGTTCTGTATATACCTACAGTACACGCCTTCGGTTCGGTAAACTTTACACACCCTTTTGGTACAGACACACGCACATGACATGTGTACACTATATGTAATATAAATATATATCAAAATGGCCGAACCGATTAAGTCCACGTTTTTGTGGTAACTCATACGAACAAGGGAAGTTTTATGACAAGTCGAATTTAAAAAAAAATTATTTTGCAAGCATTTCGGAATCAATCATAAATAACAGGAAATTGTGCAATGTTATTTTATTTAATAATATATATATTTCATTTCTAAGTCCTTTTAATTTTTTAAATTGTTTACTTTTATCGACCCTAAAATAGTTGCATAATTAAATTGATTGGTTTGTAAAGGTCGAGACGCGAAGGACGAGATAAAACTTAGGGGTCAATACTAAAGTGTTTCCAACGCAAAGGGATTTTAATTCCGCGCAACGGAATTCCGATTTTAAACCCTGGCCTTGTTACTATTTATAGATGGTAACTTGAATTTAGTATATCTACATATTTGTTTATAATAGCTATAAAAAAAACTACTGTTCCAAATTGGCTAAATTATTATATATTGTTATCATTATATGATTAATTTT